AAAATAGATTTGAAAAACTTTTGCCCTGGACAATATCTAATAAAATTAGGCACTATTATTCTGAAACATTATTATAGAAATGCTAAATAACGTTCTTTGAAAAAGAAATTCGTGTTAATTTATTGATTCAGTTTGTTTCATACGTTGTACATATAGGGAGTTTAAATTCAGTAATATTAAGGAGTTTTGATGTAGAAAACGATTTTTGTAAAATAATCTTCCAAAATTTATAAGAAACATTTAGTGGATTTAATTACCATTTTATGTGTAAAAATGAAAATAAATGAAAAACTTGCGAAAACGAACTCCACAAATGTTTAATTCGGCTTCCAACTCTTATTTGTAAATTAAAATTATTTCACTGTGAATTAATATCATTTCTCCGATATTCCTATTATTTGTGGATGATGACAAGAATGATTTTTCTTACGTTTAAAGTTTGCAAAAATCAGTTTGATGAAAAACTGTGTTGCATTGGCTGAGAAAATACATAAATAAGAGAATGAATAAAATGAGACGGCAATTTTTATTCTATCGCCAAATTTTAGTATGAAGAATGTTCTAGGATATTTTTTGAAAGAAAGTGTAAATTCAAGGAATGTTCTTTTGACAGTTCCTATAAAAATGAAGAAATAGTTGAACCCTACTCTGTTGTTGGTGGGTTAAAGAGTGAGTATGGTGTTCGGAGTTCTACCTGTTGCTCGACACGGTATGAAAGAGGATTTTCGTCTTAGGATTTTCCTTACTAATCCTAGTTTTTTTTAAGTATGCCCAAAAGTTGAAAAGGGGTCGTTGCTGCTAATAGGATTTTCAGCGCATGGGCATCTGGCGAAACTAGTTTTAACATCTGCTACAACATATATTTATTTATTTATTTCTCTTGTCATGAACTTTTACTGTTTTAACTTATTTTCCTTTATTAAAATAAAATGAGCATACAGAATTTTTCTTAATTTAAATAAAATGAGCGTACACGATGAAAAAGATACCCCAAACTGAATAAAACAGTTTTATCGTCAAAATCTTTACGTTATTATTAAAAAAGAGGACAAAAAGATTTTTTAATTATTAATTTATATTTTTTAATCATTTTTAGAGGACGTTCGAAATTTTGTTTAAAAATTTTGTTTTTTTTTCTTGCGTCAGTGGGGGAACCAAAGATTACTATAGGAAGTTTTAGCGTCATTTTTGTGGTGAAAAGCACAATGATTTGGAAATTCTTGCAAAAATCAAAGCATTGTTGGAATTTAATGAAACTTTCAGGACTTATTAACAAATAAATAAAGTTATTTTATAAATGTTTTTGTTTTAGAAAATCTTGGTAAAAACATTTTTCCCATCTGTCATCTTTCACTTATTTAATTTCATGTAAGTATTTAATTTCATGTAAGTATCTCCACAGAAAACGCGATACTTAAGATTTAAAATAAATTTTTTAAAGTGAAAAAGTGTTTTTTTAGTTTTAATTTTAAGCTAATAGATTGAATTTAATATTTCCAATAAGTGAAATACATTTTCTGTATTTCAAAACTAATTTAAATTGACTGGAAGCAGTTTTCGTTTTGAAATTGCTAAAATCGGTAATTTTGACGTCATTTTTAGCCATCCGTCATTAATTAAAAAAATTCAAAAGTAAAATATACTTTTCTGAAACTTATTTGAGGAATATTAGCTGATTTAAAGCGGAAGTAAATGTTTATTTAAGGTGTTGACAGATTAACTGAAGTGTATCTAATTATTTTGTACAATGGATATATCTGGAAAAATTATGAGGAATATAACTTAAGCGTTTTTTTTTTATATAATATTTAACTATCCAGTAATCATTAAAATTTAGAAAATATTCTCCGTAAGAAGTGTTTGATTTGGCCTAATTAGATAGCCCACCAAAAGAGGGGTATAAAACAAGAAAATCAAATTGTAAAGTGAAACAACAAATTTATATACATATAAATCAATTTAAGTCTTTACAAATACAATTAATGTATTTTGGTTGATACAAGGTCGTCAAAATGTTCGTAGTAGTCCTTGCAAGAATGAGTTTATGTGTACGTAGGCAGGAACGTATGTGTGTATGTATGTGTGTATGTATGTATGTATGTATAACCGTTATCGTAGTGTAGGAATGTCTTTGAAGCGATCGCTCAGTCTTAAAATGTTTCGTTCGTTTATCAAGTATAAAAGAGTTGAGGGAGAAAGGTAGAGATAACGAGGTAACCATCGCTTGACATTTGTGAAGGGACGTGTTAATACGCTCGTCTCCTTCTATCTGGTGACATGCGAACTTGCCCGTTTTTGATTTTGTTTGTGGGGCTTGAAAAAGTCATTTGGGAATTCACTCCCGGATATGATTCGGGCCTTTCCATTCATGTTGGCTCGCGAAAAGATCCGTAAAAGAATTTGTTTCTGAGAATTGAAGATTATTTGAATTTTGTTTTTAAATGTTTCCTGGTTTTCTATTGGCCGAAAAACATTTGGCATCAAGGTGTGAAATTTCACGAGTTTGGTTTTGGATTCGCTTTTGTGTGTGTTAAGCAAAGTTTGTAAATTCGAGTCTTTAATTTCTAACAAAATCAATAAGTCAGGGCTTAGTATTTGAATTTTAAATCTAGATCTAGTTTTGTTCACTACACTTCTACTTTTTTAGTGCATTTTATACTGGTATCCAAGTGAAAAAGACAAAGATTTATTGAAATTTAGTTCAGTGCTGGTCAGTATTTTATAAGTGTTCTGTAAGAGTTGACTGATGTCCGCGGAAGATAAAAAAATATTTATCTATTTGATAAAGAAAGTACGTATTGACTTCTCTCGAAGGTGTTTAGTTTGAAAGTTTCTTTCTTTATCTATTTTTATTTGTTGCATTCAATAAATAAATAAAAAACTTAAACAATGGTAGTTTAAGTTACTATTGTTTAGTGTTTTTGTATGCATGACTATTTAACTGAATATGTATCTACCTACACACTGTTTGTATGTAAGTGTATGCACACACACACTACACTACACAGTTCAGTAAACTACAATGACTACACAGTCACTACACATTTTTATCATGTGAGCACCGGAGATTTAAGACACGTCGTGTACTCGGACATAATAGAAAAGTTTCACTTTTTTGTCTTTTTAGTAAATAAAAATTAAAAAATGCAAGTTGTTCCATCCATTCACGATAGAGAGAAAAATAATGCAAATGTTTAAAAAAATCACATACGGACATTTCAACAATATTTCTTATTTTTTCATCTACCATAGGAATTTAGTTCTTTGTTTTTACTTGCATGCCTTACACTTTTTTGTTTTGTTTGTTTATCCAGAATATTAAGTAAAAAAATAATAATACTTAAAAACTTAGATTAATAATTAGAGAATATGCACTCGGCAACAACAATCCACAATGTTTTTTTATTTTAATTTTATTTCACATTATTCATACTATACCCTTCTAAAACTTTATTTTATATTTATGTTTTTAATTTGCACAGATTTTCTGCTTATATAGCCAATTAGGGAAAATCAATAACACTAACAACAGCCACCTGCAGTGGAGGCTTTATGTACCCGTATACATCGCTTAAACCTGTACTAAATCCCGAAACAGAAGTACAAGGAGCATAAATGTAAAAACAAGGGGAAAAAAAAAAGATGTGTACATTGTACAAATTTAGAAATTTAAAATGTTTATTTATTTTCTCTAAAATAATAAACGATGGGAGAGAAATATAAATAAGAATTGTGTGCTTTATATGAAAAAAAATCTATTGTTTTCGTATTATTTGTCTTCTTTTCAAGTTTGTCAATAGATGCAATGTGCGATAAAAATGATATACTAACTTTCTGGAAAAAATTTAAAAAAATATTGTAGTACATTTTAAAAGTTTACTAATAAACCGCCTGAGGATATTTAGTTCTTTTCATACAATCAAGTAAATAAGTGTTTTTTTGTTAAACACTAGTATTTTTTTTATTCAAAGAGACAACAACATAATTTCAGTTGACGAAATAAAGTCAGAATAATAAAACTAAGAATAGAAGTTTGTCATGTGTGCCATGCATTTTTAATTTTAGCATTTCACTTTAATTATTTTATTTTTTTAAAAGGTTTTCAAAAGAACATTGAAAGAATAATAATAGCCATCCCAAAATAATGGACCAAATTCAAATATGAGTAACATGCACGTACATGTGTACTGTAGACGTACAGACGACCTAAGTGAAACAATACACAATTGCTAGTGTATTTCAACACATACAACAAATATTTACAGATTGACATAAATTGATAAATATTGTGTTCTAATGAGATTCAAGTTGTCAGTTCTAAAGTTAGATGATTTGAGAAAAGATAAGTCTGTACATGTCAACTTCTGAACTAGTTAAAAATTACAAAAGAATGAGTAAAGCAACAAGTTAATTATGTCGACGCACGTACGTACATACTCACACACATCAGTACACAAACTTTCTTTTTTTACAACACTAAGTCTGTCAAAAATACTAAGTGGCGGTTTTAGTTTAATTTTTTGCAAGCGAGGCATTAAAAGTGAGTTTTGATTAGAAGTAAAACTGCGTATATCGAAACAAACATGTTTAGTAGCTGAACAATTGATTGTATTTGTTTTAAATGATTGTTTTTTTTGTGTGTATTCTTAATCATTGAATTGATATCAACAAAATTATTAATGCAAAATATAATAAAGCCTATTTTTCCTGACTACATTCGCCTATACATTTTTTTTTTACTTTAAACTTTACTTTACTTTCTCATTTACTGTGATAGAGTAAGAATCCGAATGTTTTTCTTTCGTGCATGTGTTTAAAAAAGTTCAAATCCAGATAAAGCGTAATTGAGTAATGACTTTTTTTTTTATTTCTTTAGAAGTGCAATTCTTCTATTGTATGCAGGCTTTGTGTATAAAACTTGAAGTTGAAAACAAAAGAATGTGTCTCTACTTGAACAGAAATGAAAAAAAAATGCGCGAAGAAGACAATAAGTTTCTCACCGATTCGCAACTGGAATGCTCTTCTCACTCCCAAAGAACGTAATGTCCGTTTCGGCGTTTACCAATCGGTTACTAAGGTAGAGTGTCATAACAACACTTCTAATGCGCTCACCTATTTCTAACCCTTGTTAGCGTGCAACTTCCGGCAATTAGAGAATATCCCTCACTACCCCATACCTACCTAGCAGTCAGCGTAACCATACATTGTTCTGACTACTGAGCTTTGACTCTGACTGTGTCTTATCAAATCAAAAATACGTGCGCCAAACCAAAAGTGAACAGCAATGATTACATTTTTGTAGTATTATTGCGCTAATTGATTAAAACATGGATAGTTCGGCATTAAATTTTGGTCATATATTGAAAGTGCATATCAGTAAGGGTTTGCATTGGCAAATGATAATAATATTATTTTAATTCTGGATGTGGGATTATTACCATACACTTGCAGAAAAAGTGAAGGAAAAATGCATACACACAAACAAGTACGATTGGCACAAAGTGACAAGAAGAGGAAAAGATAAATAAAAAACAAAAGTTGGAAATCAGGAAAAGATGCCATTTACAAAAATAAAATGAAGGAAAATGTAAGATCACACAGAAATTTAAAAAAAAGAAAAGTTTATATTTTATTATTAGAGTAAATAGTTAAAGTTTAAAGACTCGTGAATTTGATATTTGGAGAGAATATTTCAGTTGCAAGTACAAACCTGTTTGAGCGGCACTCGTATCCTTTGTTGGATTTCTTCGTAGCATATTCCCCCACCCCCCGGTTATATGAATGATAATGATTTATCACACACATCCACATGGCAGGTTAAGCTAATTCTGGGCATGTTGCATATGTTATAAGACGATCCTAAAATAATAATAATAATAATAATATACAAATTTTAAAATATTTAATTTTATTTTAGGAGCTTCCGTTGTAAAGTCATTCATGTTTCTTTTTCGTTTGTTATACAGTTGAATAAATTTCACACTACTACTGTATTAGTTGGTGTGACTGTAGGTGATTCCGTTGTTCAGGGTTTTTTATATTAAATTTTCCAATTCTTAAAATAAAAACAAAGAAAACATAGGTATATAAATAAATTATTTTATTTACAAACATTTGTACATGAATTCCAAAGAGTTAAAAAGTTTTTTTTTACATTAGTTGAGTTAAAGTCTTTGAGTAGTTGGTACACAGAAAACCCTGTAGTTTAGAAAAAGACTTTTAGTATTTGGTTCATAGCAAAAATCTATGGTGGAGAAAAGAATTTTAAATAGTTGGCCCACCGTAAAAAACTTTATCGTTAGCGAAGATTCCCTGACTGATTTTGTTGCCGTTGGAGACGATTCGCTTGAAGTCTCCGACTGTCCAGCCATGCTGTTGTTGCAGCTGATTTGTTTGAAATCGCCGACACATGTTTCTTTCAGTATACGCTTGGGGAGCTATGTAGGTACGTTATCTCTTCGGCTGGAGACAGTCGCATCTCTGTTACTTTAAGTCGAAATCTGTGGGTTATGAGATATTTTCCCGAAAGAAGGCTCGAGAAAAATAGAATTATAATTTTCTCTGAATAGTCAAATATTTTACATGGTAATATTAATTTCAAACCAATAGGCACTTTGTATTGTGGAATCTTTTTGGCATGTTTGTAACATTGTCTATTATTGAGTAGAAAATAAAATGTGGACATATTTTAATATGGTATGTATGTTGATTGTGTTGGAATTAGAGTTTATTTCCTATATGATAATTTAGCTAGTCATATTAACTGACCCAATCAAAGTTTAATTTTTCTAATACCATAATATCACATTTATATGAATACTTCCATATAGCAAGCACAGTTCATGTTCTCCATGAAATTCTTAACTAATGCACTATATTTACAATCATATGTATGAACAACTGCGGAGGGGAAGAAAACTTAATTTTATTTACATAAAAAAGAACAACACAATTTGAATGAAAAATATGTACAAAGAAAAATGTGTTAGCATGGAACGCTCCCTACAACCTTACAATAGGCAGGAAAGCAAGTTAACTGGGTGAAAATATAGTGGGAACACATAGAAGGAAAAACAAATAGATAAAAAAACCAAAAAAAAAACCTGAAATGTTCCCGCCGCAGCGACAGAGAATTTTCCCTTCTTTCACCTAACAATGGCTAAATCATTAGATTCTTCCATTTCACCTCAATAGACGCATTTTGGTCAAATGGCCAGTTCCACCGCAAAAGAATGCAATCCGAATCATCAGCCATGTGAGTGATGTTTCATCATTAGTGAGGCAGCGAAAAACAGAAATATCGGGGACGAAAGACGTCGATGATCATAAACAATTTCAAGGAACGTAAAAAACTTCACCTATTCTTAATTGGCTTGGGCTGGCATGTTTTGCGTAAAAAAACAAATCCTTCAACCGGCCATTTCAAGATGCCACTCAAAATTTGCACCGTTCATTGGCACCAGCTCTTGAATAATCTTTCTGTAAAGTCCTCCGAAGAACGTTTCTCTCTCTTCTTCTTCCCCCTTTCTCTATCTCCACCCTGATCTTGACCTTCAGCTGGTGTTTGAAGGACTCAACCAGATGATTGGAATTCAGAGGTAATGCTCTGAGGACTCCGTTCATCCTCGTCATTTATACCACAATGTGCATCACGCCTAGCATGCACAGAAGCACATAGTACTTCGTATTGTCCGACAACGAGCTCACATCGCTACAAACGGAAACGGCCTTCAGGACAAAGAATAGCTCGCACAGTATACGAATCATATAGCCTTACTGAAGATTATATGGTTCACACAACAGACGGACGAAAGTATGTTCAATATATTCGTCTATTTCAGCGCAACGGCCGCATTCTGGCAAAATGGCCAGTCCACTACAAAATACTTTCTGACGACAGAGAGCGCATTCCGAATCATTAGCCAAGTGAGTGATGTTTCATCATTAGTGAGGCATTTTAACCAAGGTACCCAAGCGAAATTCCATCCTCGTACCTCGATCAAATCGTTGTGAAAGCGCCCCCCCCGCACCATACACGATATAATAACTCTTTAGACAGCGGTCGGATCACAGAGAGGCCAACCTGTATCCGAGAAAGAACTCTCAAAGCATGTCGGCATTAGCGGTAGAAGGACCACTCGTTTCGAGACAAAGAGCAGGCCTCGCCCTCATTCGAGTGCACGTTCCTCAGAGACATGAAGGCTTTCTTGGCGTATTCTTCCAGAAGCTACCGTTCTCATTAACCTGTGAACAACCAAGGAATTGCAAACGCAACGTGTGCCGAGGAGTCTCGATGTTCGTGATTTCAAGGGCGCCCCCCCAGACGGATAGAGGCAGCAAATGTCACGACGCACTATAGGAATTCTGTCGCATCAGATGAGACGAAACAGATCTCTCGAGTACAACAAGTTCAGTGGACGAGAGTGGCAGCACTGAAAGACGGTAACGGATGAGGGGGTAGATTTCGTAACGCATACTTCGGCTTCCGCCTTCAATGACAGATTCCTAGATTACCACAGCTGCGGCCTTTTCCAGAAATTCCGACCAATTCTTCTCCAGCTGAAGGTAGGGACAGAACTAAGTGTCTTGCAAGGCCCGTTCGTTCAACTGAAGTGGTTCAGGAGAAGACAAACCTTTCTATGAACCCAGCCACAAGCCAACAGACTGAATGCGGTTAATTTTGGTCACTGTGACCGTCGCATACATTCGGATTTCTTTACGGTTACGTGGCACTGCTCGCTTCAAGCCTGGGGACGTTATCGGCGTAAGCGATGTACCTGGCTGAGATAGTTGGTAACGAAATTCTACTAAGGACCGGATTCGCCCTCAACCTTCACAGGAGAGGTTCTAGGACATAATAACTGAGCAGTATTAAAAAATAATGAGATACCTCTAAAAATGAATAACGGAACAGGAACAATCTGTCCCCGTAGATTGAATAAAGGGTTGAGTTTGAAATGTTTTGATGGTTACTTGTTTACAAAGGCCGGAGAGCAAGACAATCGATCTTTTGTGATAATAACAACAAAGATGAGGACATTAGTCCGACTTTAAATAATATGATATCTCTTCATTCCAGAAATTCAGACAGAAATGCTCGTACATATATTCAATCGTACAATCGTATTGAAAAATAGCCAACGCTGACGAATGGATATGGACAGTAGGAAGAGCTTCGATCATATCCTGTTCACTTCCACCATATATCCGGGACTTGGATACAAGAGGCGAACCCAAGAGCAAAAGTACGACTTTTTGGACTGATCCAAACTGATCAGCACGTCTTCTTCGTCAACTTTTTCCATTGAAGTTATGCGAACCAAACGAATATTATCTTGGATTGTCCTACCCAAGGACCGGATTCGCACTCAGCATCAACTAACAGCTTCAGCTGTCTCGAAACGAGAAAAACCAGTTAAATAATTGTCTGGAAGTAACCCTGAAATTCTCTACATATACCCATTGTCAAGGTCCTTCCATCTGGCGATGTGACACTCGATAATGCTTATCAGTAGCATTTCGGAGCTCTGCACGCAATTCTACGGCCATATTCGTTGCCTCTGCAGACATTCTATTGAACCTTGCCCTAAGCAAGATGACCGTCACACAGTGGCGTAGCTAGAGTAAACGTCACCCGGGGCGGTCCGCTCAAATGTCACCCCAATGACCCCGATTCACCCTATGCTGAATGGTTAGCTGTAGCTAAATTTTCATACATGCTCTACCCCTACTTTACTCTACTGACCAATACGTTACTGTTTACATGTATGATCCAAGACAAAATCCAATACCACAAAATAATCAGTTCAAATCAAAAGATTTTTAAAATGCAACTGTTCACTTTCAGAACAACTAAATACAAAACAGGGCAATACACAAAAGAATGACATTCGATACTATGGTCTTAGGATGAATGTTTTCTTGTTTTCATTGTGGCAAACTGGCCAATGACATCGTCAAAATCTATTTGTCTTGTAAGCTCGTTTTCAATGGACAGCACAGCCAGATCCGACAGTCTCGACTGGCTCATGTTTGACCGGAGGTAATTTTTTATAAGTTTCATTTTGGAGAAACTTCTTTCACACGATGCCACAGAAACACATATTGTCAGAAAGAATGTTAGAGTCAGCGTAAGATATGGCAATGACTCAACAAAGTCCCACTTGATGATAATCTGCAGGAACTGCAGTACAGTCCAGTGCTTGGCTTCCTCCAAGTTTATTTCGGCTGCTTGAAGGTGTCGCCTTAAACGTCGAATTTCTAAACAAAGTTCTTCTTCAGACAGCTCATCATACACAGCTGTGAGCTTGGTAACAGATAATTGTATTTCTTCGTATTAGTTGTGCCAAAGCACAACTAATATGGTCTGACTGAGCGGCACAAAATGTCAGCAAATGTCATTCACTGCCTTTCCTCTGGTATCCAACTAGATATGAAAACGGTCCAGACACTCTAACATTGCTCTCTTAGTCTCCTGCTGCAATGAAAATCCAGCATCTCTTGGCTCCTCTCCTGGTATTCTTTTCTTTCTTCTGATTCTCTTCTCTGTAGGAATATCAAGTTCTTCACATTTGGCAAGTGCTTGCTGGACGGCACTATCAACAACATTTGTACGCTGCTCTTCCAAAAACACCTTGAGAGCCCTTAATTTGGTAGCAACCATGTCCAGAGTAATAGCTGGTGTTCTGAGCTAAGTTGACTTCTTGTAAAACATCACCCCAGAAAAACAAGAAGGAAATGAAAGAAAAGTCGCATATAGCTGGCAACAGATTGTGCGCAGCGTATCTTGTCTCGTCGCTTTCTTCGACACCACATAGGGCTTCAATGGCTTCCACAAACTGGTTAAACTTCTGTATCACTGGCTTCACAGCGTCAGCATGTGCACTCCAGCGAGTTGTAGACAGTCTCTTCACTGTTAGACCTGTGTATTCCACTAGCACAGCCCAGCGATGGGTCGACAGAGCAAAAAAAGTGTACAGCGCCTCAAGAAAAAAAAAAAAAACAAGGTACAAAAACGGATTAATTAATGTCTTTGATCTTTTGTTGCACACCGCCGTGGATTCCAGACATGTTTGCCGCATTATCGTACCCTTGACCGCGACACAATTGAATATCCAGTCCCTCGTTTTCTAGTTTCTCGAGGATATCGCTAGTTGATGCAGTAGTGTTTTACCTTTCAGATGAAAAAATCCAAGGAATGACTCCCGCACTTCAACTGTACCACCGCTAATGTGTACATATCGAATTACTGTTGACATTTGATCTGTATGCGAAATGTCCAGTGTGCTATCAAAAAGTATGCCAAAGTATTTTGCACTTTTGATGTCGGAAACAAGTTTTCCATTCACGTATTTTGCCAAGAGAGAAATGAACTCGTTTTGAATTTCAGATGACATGTATGAACATACTACCTGACTGTCTGTGTTTTGCTGGAGTCTGACAAGATGTTCTTTTAATACTACATCGTAGTGAGATAACAATTCAACAAGCTCCAAGAAGTTACCTTTGTTTAATGATGACGCATCTTCACGATGTCTCCTAAATGACAGGTTCTGTCGCGCAAGGAAAAGTATCACATCTAAAACTCTGTGCAGAATGTTTCTGAACTTCTTTTTCTCTTTCTCCATGAGGGAAGTGTGTGCTGCGTCGATGGTTGTTTGCATCTGGAGTCCTGAAGCCAGTGTTTTCCACTTCTCCAAGCACGACAGATGATACTTTGATTGTTCGTGTTCAGCAATTTTCGGATTTAGCTTCCACCAGGCTTCGAAACCAGTGACGAAAGTAGACGTTCCAGTAGCTTTGTCATCCGACAACCGACAACAAAAGCAGTACAATTTTCCATCATGCAGCGAGTACGCCATCCACGAGCGTAGCACCCTGTCGCCATTTGACAATGAATAATAAAACCAAGCTGCAGAGAGTTGCCGCAATTCACCTTTAACCTTTGCACATGACCTTTTGACCGACTTGAAAGGTCCCTGCTTATTCTGGAATGGTTCGCTGCCCCTTTTGATGATATCAGTTCTGACACTATCAGGCACAGGAATATGCCACGATGACACGTCGTTGAATATTGGCAAATTACTGGTGGTGTTGGCAGCCAAAGTTTCAAACTCTTCTTCAGATCGAGCTGCAATTGCTGCATCATATTGTTCTTCAATGTCAGTTTGCTCGTTGTCGCTGTCTCTCGGTTGCTCGCTATCATTTGAACTTGAAGAATGTTTTTCGAATTGTTGTTCATGCGACGTTCCTTCAGCGTCAATAGAACCAGAACTCTTGACAGATTCTAGTTTCTGTGTCCACTTCAGCAAAGACCCTTTCATAGCATTTAGCGCTGCATCATTTACCTTTTTGGCTTGGCGTTGCTGGGGCGTTTTTGACGTTTCATTGTTATCGAGCTTCCAATTATGAAAATACATTAAAATAAAAGTTTTAAAATAAAAAAAGTTTAAACATGAAACACAAATGTCTTTAAAATAGTTTTAAAAAATAAATAAAAATATGTTAGTAATTAATTTTCAATTCATGAAACACATTTTGAATGTCTTTTGTGCGTCTTGTCAGTGGATGGGAAATGTGAAAACTAAATTGCCAAACGGTATCAAAGATATTAATTAATTTTGTTTTGTTGAAAAAAATAAATTGTATTAGTAGTCTGGGATTTTATTGACTTATATTTCCATCCAAATCCATATTTTAGTTATATTCAGAATTTTATTTTCCGGGGTCCACAGGCAAAACTCATTTGTTGTGTTAATTAAAACCAATACAGACACATAAACTGAAATCTAATTTAATTATTTTATTGGTAAAAGAAGTAAATATTTTAAATGACGTCAAAACGTATTTCTCGCGTATCGGTGCGATTTTAAAAAAGTTTGAATAACCCTAAATTTTATTAATGCTTATAAATTGTTTTTTTAGTGTATTTTTCAGTGTGTATAGAATTCATCTGACGCAAAACTTCTCATTTGAAGATTTTTGATATTCATCAAAAGTTTTTTTTCACACTATTTATCCCTTTTGCCATTTTTTTGATAACCTGCCACTTGTAATTTTTGCCTAAATGCTGGCTAGGGGACCGGACAAAAGCACATCGGACACTTTTTTTGAAAACCCAACCATAATCGGACAAAAGTAAAAAAAAAAAAAAAAAGACAAAATCCCAACAGCATAAAATAAATGAATCAAAAACATTAAAAATCACTTTTTATATTTTACTTTTAATTTAGGAAAATTGGGCAACTATGGGAGAAATGTCAATTGAAGATAGATTTTAGGGCCATTCTTGAAGAGGATATCGTTTTAAATAGGATTTAAGTGCCGAAAGATACATATTTTAAAATATTTACTCTTGTTTTAAAGCAAATAAATCGATTTTTCTAAGTTAAGTGTTCGTTCTAAGAACACAGTTCTTGTATTATCTTTTACAATTATTATATTAATAAAAAAGTAGTAAATTAAAATCCTATTACCAGATTAAATCCATCATAATACATTTCGGTTTATTCGTAAATATGTCAGCGATTTTAATATTTTGTTAATAGTTCGAAAAAATCAATTACTTCGTGACTGTTCGAAACTTGAAAGGAATTCGAAAGTATTTAAACTATCGAATAGAAAGTCATTTAAATATTATTTGGGGGAAGCGCTTAGTTCCTATTTAAAATTATATCTCCGTATAGAACGATCCTAAAATCTATTTTCAATCGATATTTATTCCATAGTTGCTTAATGTTCCTACAATCCCAAAATTACGTAATTTTCTGTTGCTAATTTTCCGGTGTCCAATTTTCCGTTGCATCATTTTCTGGGTACCATTTAATTATCAATGATGTTTGAAAGTATTTTTCTTGACAAAAATATTCTATTTAATTTTTAAACATTTTTCGGAACATTGTAAATCAACTGCATTCTTTAAGGTTACCTAGAGAATTTATGCAAAGTTTGTTTTTTTTTGTTTTTCTTTATACACGTAAAATAAATTTACATCGTATTTTGATGTTATTATGATTTTAGTTTTAGTGATAATTTAAAAACAATAAATATTTATCATTAGTAACAATAATGGAAAATTAAGTTAAAAATTTAAAAGAATCGTTTTTGGAATCGGAAAATAGACACAAATTTTTCCGATTCCGATACCGTTTCCGATACCCCAAAAAGTTCCGATTTTTCCGATTCTCGATTCCGATTAATCGTCCCAACACTAGTAGATATATTCAAAAGTATATCGCTCACTCAATGGAAAATTGTATCTCAGCGAATTGATACACAGGCAAGACTGAAATTGTTGCACTTTTGGCTTCGTATTTCGCTTTGTTGTTATTAATGATGCAGAGTTAAAACACCATATCATCCGATAAAATGTTACAACAATGTCTCTTGTTAGTAACCAGGATTGTAGCAACTGAAACACATGAAAGCTGAAAACATTGCTATTTTTCCTACTCACAAATTTCCCGACAATTTATTAGAAAATTTCTGACGGAGGACAAAACTGGGGGTCATAAATTATTTCGGGGTGGGGGTCATATGCCCGCCTGCGAAACCCCTGTGTTCCACCACTGTTTTCAGACTATTTTTGGTACCTTAGCCTGGTTGAAAATTTTGTTGGGGGTGACATTGTGTCACCCCTCCTGTGCTGGCACCCGGGGCGGTCCGCCCCCAGCTACGCCACTGCCGTCACAACCTTAAATATGGTTACCTTATCATTATCTCCCGATTTAACAGCACCTTCTACTCTAGATTGTAGTGCCTTTTGCGTCGCTAGTCTAAGTTGAGTCGTCTGCTATAATCAGCAACAAAAGACCTAATGGTACTTTTATGATTAGTATCAGTTGGTCCTGAAAATCCACGTCCAATAGGGTCGTGTTTAATTAACAGTAATCGGCTGTCCTAGGTTTAGCTTTATCTAAGTTTATCCGGATCCAGACACGTCTATGGTTCGAATAAAATACAACTATGGAAACCTGGACAAACTAAAATCCCTAAGGTGACTTTCCTAACTAAAACCTGATCGATGAATTTAGAATGCTGCACCGTACCCAGGCAGTCTTTATTTGCCCAAGTACACTGCGATTACACACCTTTATTTTATTAGGGCTATTTAGCAGTATGCTTTTAGCAGTAGTGTCCATGGACCTTGAGCATTGGAAAATAAGTTGCTGTGTTTTCGTATGTGCCGTATAACAGAATATAAATCGTTTTAAATAGTTTGAAGTTGAAAATGGGTGGAATTGGTCATTAGGTACAGATTTAGATCTGTCTAACTTAAGTGTTAATTTTGATAAAGGAATTGTTCGTTGGAATGAGCGACACAAAGCAGATCTTAATAGGTTAGGTTTGTTTTGATCAGGGATATAACACATTTGCAGATAGAATTGACGATGACACCCGTGATAATCAGGTCAAATAAGGGTGAGATTCTGGAACATGGAAAATGTTCCATTGAAGGTGGATATGGGCGATACAAGGCCACCATTTTTGATTGGTCCGCCAATGAGAGAAAAGTGCTGGGATGGCGTTTCTCGTCCCCCCGCTCCGATACTTACGACACAGGGCCATTATTTTGATTGGACCACCAATCATATTGGTTTCTTAGGAGCTTTTATTCCTCCCCTTCGAGGCGTATGGTACAAGACCATTGGTCAAGCGTTATTTTTGGTTAGCTAATATCATTGGTCAAGCATTATTATTGGCTGGTCAGTCAGAGCAGTGCAACTGGAGCTTGTACCCGCATAAAAGCAGTTACCGAAAGAGCAGAAGTAAGAGCGAACTGGTTTCGTTGCTAGTAGACCAACACTCTCCTTGCCGGATGACCGTGGTGTCTCAATCAGCTAAAGAACTATTCGCTGAGCCATTTTTTTTAATTCCCTCGACCAACTGCCTTCATTTAAATTGTTGAATGACTCTGGAAAGTTTAGCCATAACTGCAACCACCAGTCAATCTCTCTTCCTTCCAGCTCGAGAATTCCTTGTACGGGGAAAGTTCTTCAAATCTCTTTGCTTTAATCATAGTACCTGTTATATACCGTATCTATGAACACTAATGTGTACGTCCCAATTCACATAAATACGTTGGTGGTTTACCTACTTCACACCGCTGGCGAGTATTGTATTTTGTTGAAGTTATAAAGATTACCATTTCATTTCCAACCTCCGTTTGGGTTATTCCTCATTCAGTAACCTTTTCTAGGTTACAACAGTACCATAAATAAAAGTTGCTATTTTTATACTTGTTAATGAGTGTTCTTGAAGTTAATTAAGATTACTGGCGACACTGTGACTTTGATCTTTCACAAGCATAGCCAGGACAGTGAGGAATCAAGTCTGATCTTCGACAGTTCTTCACCGATATTCTTGCGTATACTAAAACTCAACGTTGGGGCGCAGGATTGGTGCAGAGCGGGATCGCCGGGGATAGACCAACAGACACAGACCAGAGTAAGAGTGGCATTCAGCGAAGCACGCAGCAACAGGGTTATATATGTAAGAAGAACAGTAAGAGAAAGAAGCAATTCATGATACACCACAAAGACGGTAATATTTTGTAGGGATTGAGACAAAAGCGATGGTAGAAGAAAAGTAAAAGTTGATGAAACCTCAACAGCAAAAACTTCTACGCTTCAAGAATATTTTTGATATCCACTTTCTTCATATTTTGGAGGAAACTTAAATCCCTCAGGCGTTCGGGCTGCAAATTTTTTCTTTTCTAATATGTTCAGGTCAACATGATATTTCTTTTTGAATAGAATTGTAATTTTTTTCACTTTCTTTTTTTCTATTCTTGAATAAAATCACCAATACTGAATTGACAAAATTTGATTTGTATTTCTTGTTCTTAAATGTTATTTGTAACCTGGATCCATACATATACGCATTCTCCTTATATTAGTAACCTCGACGTTGCAAACGCAATTAGCTGATGATTAACTCATCTTTGATACAAGCAACATTTTACAGAAAACAGTAAAGTGACATCCAGTTTCAACAACGAATCTGTATCCTTGAATATTTATCAACAAAATTTTTCTCATAGATATCAATTTAAAATTTCTAAAATAAAATACATTTTACGAATTTTCAAAATTTTTCCTCTACGGCTTCGCATGACCAGACAAAGTTTTTTTTTTCAACACAAGGCACTAAAACTATAAATTTGTGAAGCGAAGACGGCAATAAACACCAAGACAATCAAACTCCAGATGACAAAAATGATTTGAATCGGAGGATCGTGCATTCTTCTGATTGATAAATTAATGCTTTGAAAATAAATATTTAACATTTTTCAACCAATAGGTTGCGTTCCCGCCAACAATTG